GTTTTGGAGTCTTTGTTAGTCGAACAAAACAAGTAATTTCCACTTTTCATTTTGTGACATTTTAAAGACTAAATGGTTAACTGATCAATCAACACAAAAATCAAGACAGTAATTTATAATGGGTATAGTTGTGAGACAATGCCAGAGGTTGTGACAGGTCATTAATCAGTTTGTTGCTTGTAGCTGTCATCTTGTATTAAATCCATCAAGTTTATAACAAAAAACAGCCAAACAGCAAAACAGAGTAGCAGCCACTGTAATGCAGTATGTTCTCTCTGCACATTCCTCTCTAACATCAGAAATTTAACAGTATGCTTTAAGAATTATTAATTACTGTATATTGCAAGTGCACATGGCTTCATCCACCTCCTCCTGGGAGACTTCTGGAGGCTTAAGGGGACGTTGCAGAGACAGTAATGTTATGTAATTCCTCTTTCAGCAAGCTTACAAACCTGTCATGTTTTACCAAAAGAGAAAAAAAAGGTTTTCACTAATTTCTTTTTCTGTGAAGATTTCCTTGTAAAGTAACACTGAATTGGAGCTGAAATGATCAGCCAAATATTTAATTAGTCAGTCACAAGAAAGTAAATCTGCTGCTTTTTTGGTAATTGATTCATTGTTTGAAGGTCCAGAGTGTAACATTTATAATGATCTATTGGCAGAAATGCAATATAATATTCATTAGTGTATAATCACCTGAAAATGAGAATCCTTGTGTTTTTATTAGAATGAGCTGTTTATATCTACATATGAAGCAGGTCCTCTTCTACGAAGGCCGCCATGTTTCTACGGTAGCCCTAAATGTACAAACCAAACACTGGCTGTAGATGGACCCACCTTAGACTCCTACACTTCACAGCCTGTCCTCATTGCCAGGATGTCAAATATAGATACGTGCAGTGTTCAGTTAGTTGTAATCTGCAACTTCACCTCTAGATGCCACTAAATCCTACACACTGGTTCTTTAAGTCATTTTTCTTTAAATACCTATAGTTCATGCTTCTTAATACTAAGAATGTGCTGCTTTTCTTTGTCTTATGTTACAGTACAGAAAGTCTTCATCAAGATGGGCTTCAGGAAATTGTGATAGGCAGTTTTCACAATTCACATTTTATAAACCAAATTAACTGAGGAAATAATCTGCTGATGAATTGATAATTAACTGTTACAGCCCTACACTGAACCCAGCTGCCTGTCCACTGGGCCCAAGAACGTTTGGTGAAATTTATTTAAATGATGTGTTTGCTTTAGTTCCATTTGTTTGGACAAGTAAGATTAATGCCATTCAAACCTCCCTGAGACGTCTGAAAATGAAGACTCTGTTGTTCTCCATGAGAACTGCTGGACAGCGGATAGAGAGGAAACGACCCCAGAGTGCTCCGGTTTATGGAGACAGATGGAGACGTCTGATAGTCAGCAGCTCCGCATGCATAGAACTAAATTAACTAAAGGAAACGGTAATCTGGACTGATGCCCGTAATCAGCTGTTTCTCCATGTACGGTAGCCTTAACCAGCATGAATAAAAAACAATTTCAGGAAAGTATGAGTAACTAAAGTTTAAACGGCTGTTTTTAAAACAATTTTCTTCAACAAGGTCCAATTTACCAAAACATACAAAACTTGATGGTTCAGCCAAGACAAATACACTGTATGCATGAATGTGTCAGATCCTCAAATGCTGAAGGCTGTATTCTGTAAGTGACAGTATATTTTGCTTCATAAAGGATGTCAACCTTCCTCTGCAGCATAACAGGAAGCCACATTTCATAATTTCACTGCTTGAATTTCTGCTGTCGGTTCAACTCTCGTGTTTTTTCTTCTTTGATCGAGCACATTTAGTGGAACATTTCTAAAAGGGTATTAGCTGTCGTGTTTGGCACAGCGGTTAGGTCAACATCTGGCTGCTTATGCACCTTTTTATGACTGTGTGTGCGTGTGTTAGAGAGGAAGCCTACCTCTGCCTTTAAGCAAGAGAGATACTATCGTTGACAGAACCTCCGGCTGTTTTTGAAAATAGATGCTCTTATGTGATAATACATTTCTCGGAGACATTTTAATGATGATAAATCTAACCATGCTTTTTCATTACAAAACCACTGCCATATATGATTGCTGCTCCACATGAGCGGTACAACCTCACAGGCCACAAATGTGGTCACCATGGAAACGGAAACTTTGATTTGCAAGACTTAAAACTGAGTCCCGTTGCCGGAATGGCGTGCGCCTCAATAAACAACACCACTGGAGCTATTTTTAGCTCTGGCAACGTGCCAGATCAAATGCAGACTCTGGAGTGTTCATCATGTGCATCTCATCTAACAAAGTAGGAAAACAAACAGCAGAGTATGAATAGTAATAAACCGCTTTTTATAGAGGAAAGTTCCTGGTGGTGGTGAGCTGGGTGAACACAGCTGTGAGGCTCAAGATGAGTATTTAACACTCTGCCCGCTTCATGAAACAACTGGAAGTGGCTCACCTGAAGAGGTCAGAACCATAGAAACTAGGTTATGTCCTCTTGATGCTGCTTTGCGTTAGTTAACAGCATCCTTCACTGATCTTTAAATACCCAGCACACACGTCAGCCTGTTCAGTTTACATACTCATTGGTTACTAAGGAATGTCTTTGTGTATTGGACTTTGTAAAACAGAAGCACTTAAGCTCATTGGAGTGTCACAAATTAAATCTTTATCACTCAGGCCTTAGTCAGTGCTTTTGTCTGACCGCTTCCTTTAAATTAGAACTACTGTTTATTTGCTTGCTATTATATCTTGGCAACAGTCAATGCTGGCCTGGTGTAGGTATTACATCATCTCCAGATTGCAGTCATTTGAGCTGAGACGAGATCACTTTTCTCAGAACTTGATTGTTAATGGGCTCACAGTAATTGAAATTCCTATTAGTTTATGCTTCCCAAGTAATAATGCATACGGTCTAGTGGTCGACTATTCTAGGTTTTTCAGTGTCTGATGCCGATATTAGAGAGCAGGGCTGCCGATAGCTGATATATAATGTTGATATCAAAACAAAAAAAAGTAATGTATATATGCTATTATATCTACAAGAAATTCAGACATATGTTTACAGCAGGATGCATGAGTAATAGTACAGGGCTTGAAAATTTTCACCACATTCCCGAGTTAACATTGTTCCACGGCAGCTACACTGACAAAGCTTCCTGCAGATGTGTCTGCATTTTTTGTTTATCAGCCTGGTGAGACAAAGGTTAATTGGTCTATCACTAAGACAGTCCCACTCATGTGCATAAGTGAGAGGTTTCAGAGCCTCTTGTCATACCAAGAAAAAGATTTTGTCAACATCTAATAAAGCTTTTCTAATGAGGTTCAGCACAGAAAACAAATGCTCAATTGCATATTATCTTTTGCTGAACTTATTGATATTGGTATATCAACAATGGTTAAATGACTATGTGTATTGTGAAGGGAGTTGCTCGTAGTGAGAGATTATTATCACCTGATTGTGCATTTCCCCTGAGCTTGATGGAGTGGTGCAGTATGTAACATTTAGGAGGATCTATTGGCAGAAATGGAAAATAATATTCATAACTATATCTTCATTAGTGTATAATCACATGCTTTCGTTACCTTAGAATGATTTGTTTATATCTACAGACGCCACAGAACCGCCATGTTTCTACAGTAGCCAAACACTGGCTCTACATAGGGATGTTCGCGTTTTTCATCCAGATTACGGCCACCATAGTTTCTCCTTTGTGCTTGGAAGGGGAGGGTAAAGCGAGTGAGCTGCAATGTGCAAATACACCACTAGATGCCACTAAATCCTGCACACTGGACCTTTAAATCTCACCGTTCTCATCAGAATTGTTTCCCCAAGCAGAAGGCAGCTGATTTTAGCAAAGAAAAGCTCTAAAAACACACTGTACACTACCTGCTCAGCACCAAACAGCAGGCCGACACATTCAGCAACTAGCTGGTGAACACAGAGGAGCATTTAGCTGCTAATGAGCCAGATATTTCCCTCAGGAGGTGGTAGAGACCAAAACAGACAATGAATATGAGAGAGGTGGCCAAAAACACAACTCTAAATGAATGCTAATATATTGTTGTGTTTACAGCTTGTTCAGCTTGCTCCAAGTGGCAAAAATAAATATTCAGCTTTAAACATCTGCATACATTAACAGTCTTAATAGTTTAAGACCAGCAATTTAAAATGAAGTATGTGTAGCCAGAGCAGGAAGTAGAACACAACACGAAGCTAAAGCTTTATGGTTCTGTCAGCCGTAGCAATAAAGACGGCATTGTTCACACAAACGGATGACATGAGGGAATGCTGCGTCTTGAGCTGTCAAATTGTGCTTCATAACTAGCTCCTCTTCACGTCTGATCTCTAAATAGAAGACTAACGTCACAGTTACAGAAGAGATTACATGTGTGATCGCACATAAAATGTCATTTGCTGTTACTCACATAAAAAAGAAACTCACTTTTAAATAGTTTCCTGTGATCATCTATAATCACAGCAAGTAGTCTAAAACAAAGAAAATCTGTCAATGTGTGGCAGGTAATGTTTTTATCTCCTCTTGCGAAAGTACAGTATCATCCTTTCTGACTCATAATCGCACCTGTATTAAAATTGCATCAACAGTAGAGCAGCTGCAGGCTATTTTCATGGCTACAATCTTAAATCTTCACAGTACTGATTCAATCCAGTGAAATTCAGACTTCAAAATTCAAAAACTGCTCTAAAAAAAAAAGATAATATAAAATACATCCAATCTCTTCAGACCTTACTCAAAGTAAAGTCTTTATTCTTGTGTGAACTGCAGTTTTGACATTTTGACCCAAGTTCATCGAATTTAAAAATGAGACTGACCCTGAGTTGGTCCTCTGGTTCCCCGGTTTGCAGCTCTGAGACTCAGCTTCCTCAGGGTCACATCGTGAGCATCACATATGAATGAAAGGTAATCAGAGTGGTATAGCTTTGGCTGTAATGTTTCACACGTCTTCTCTCTCCTGGCAGATCTGCACTCCTGACCTGGTGGTGTTCCTGGCCTGCACCAACCACCGTTTGAAGGAGAGGCTGCAGAAACGAGCCGAGCAGCAGGGACGACCGGACGACAACCCCAAGGCCATCGACCGCCGCCTGACCAACTTCAAACAAAACACCATTCCTCTGGTCAAATATTTCCAGGAGAGGGGCCTTATTGTTACGGTAAGGGGTGTGGAGTTGTGTGTGTGTATACAGTATTAGCCCTAGTATTATATTCATATTGAATGATTCTGCAGTGCATGATTTAAATTCAGTGGAAAGTGCCAACACAGGAAGTAACGTGTTTGTCATGTAACGAGACAGGAAGTAAGGGTGTGCGTGTTTACGTCAGTGGATGAGTGAATCAGTCTTATGGTAAACACTAACAAACTAGAACAAGTAACACAAACGTTAGCATGTTAGAAAGTCAACAATATTGCAGAGCAAACAAATTATTTGCCAACAAAGGCAGTGTAATTTGAGCTGTGAGTGGGTATCAGTCATCAGTAGGTTGAACATGCTTTAAATGAGTTGGTCATGTGTAAACAATACTGTGCAAGGTCTATAAAGGACTAGGCCTACACATTAGAGGTCCAGTGTTTAAGATTTAGGAGGGCTTACTTGCAGAATATGGCAGAAATGGAATATAATATTCATAGGTATGTTTTGATTAGTGTATAATGACCTGAACATATTGGTTGTGTTTTTGTTTTGTCTTTCACAAAGTCTGCCATGTTGAAAATGAAATGTTTCTACAGTAGCTTTATAAGATATAATTCTAAGTTTTAAGTTAAAAAATGTGAATTATAAACTCCCAGTCCACTGATATTGATACTGCTGGCAGAGTGAGGTTGAATGGTACATTTGAGATATAAACTGGTAATTACAGTTACATGAACATGCATCAGTGTCGCAGTTGTTTTTAAACATAAGCTTTACCTTTTCAGAACCTTATTTAGTAACCTTAACCATAAATTAAGGGTTTTCATGCCATTACTGCATTCTTTCCCTACCCTTAACCATACTGGAAAACACTGAAAATCTGTCAAAAATTCTGGCAATCGGTGATGATAATCTGCAGTTTTGTCGAATCGTTATCGTTAAGTATTAACAGTATGTTAGATTTGCTTGGATGAATAGTAATCATGTTAAAATAACCAAAATGTTATTCCTAACTCCAGAAGGAGTACGCAGACAAAGTCAAGGAGGCTTCTGGTTGTTTGGGAGGTGAAATGCAGACTGTTGCTGCTGGAATAGAGACACAAGTGTTAATTGGAGACCACTGGGATCTACATTAGATTGTGTGGTTTGTTGCAGAGGGGCATTGAGTTACCATTGGCATGTGTGAGGCAGGTGCTAATAGAGCTATTGGCTCCTGCAGCCAACAGGAAACGGCTGCCCACTCTTCCAGTGGGAGTCTTATTGATCTGTCTGAGTCTCAGCGCAGCATCGTCTTCCTAAATCATCCTTCCTAGCAGAAGTAATACCGAATAACTCCTCCACCGTATCACTGTGGAAAGAGATTCTGTTTACATACTTTTAGATTGTTGTCTGGGGGGCATCTTAAAATCAAATGCTTGTAAAAATCTCTAGTGGCTTTCACGTTAATGCTAGAAAGAAGAAAATGCAATCCGACGCCCTCCAGAAGTCAGAGCCTGTAGTTTATGTGTCAGTGCTCGCTCCCTGTCTTTAGCCCTCTGTGGCTGATGCTGTGAAGCAAACAACACTTAACGACTCTGGGACTCCAGACGAATTGGAATTAAATCTGTGTCTGTATTTTATTATTTTTTCCAATTTCTTTTGGAATATTGTCTTTTCATATTCTACTTATTGCATTCTCGTCTGGCTCCCTGGCGTCCGTGCTTGAACCTTCATGAATCTTGCTTCTGTATACGTTATATATTTGCAATCTTTTTTTTTCTGTTGTACATTCATTCGTCCATCCATCTATTTTCTGTAAAAGCTTAGCCTGTTAAGGTTTCCAGCATGCACAACATACAGAGTATAATTTGTACTCTTCTTTACTGGTATTTCTGATTAGACAGTTTCTGAGTTAAATCATAATGTTGCCATTTTAAGCAAAGCTCTTGTGTGTTCAGACAACATTAGTAAATATTTTATTAAAGATTATTAGACTTTTATATTCTCAATTAAGGAATTCATTGTTTGGTCCATAAAATGTCAGAAAAAAGCCTGAGATGCTGTCTCCAAATGTCTTGCTTTTTCTGAGGAACAGTCCAAAATCCCAAGAAATTCAGTTTACTATCATAGGAAACTAAGAAAAGCAGAAAATAATTCACATTTTAGAGTCTGAAACCAGTGAAAAATTATATTTTGATATTATTATCTAACTAGAAAAAATATGGACGAATAACAACACCTCCAAACAAAACAAAACTGGTGAGAAAAGTGAAAAGCGTCCACCATCAACAGCGTTATACATTATTTATCAGTATCTTGGCTGTTAACAGAAATGTATTTATTTCCCTGAGATGAAGTTATCAAGGTTTCACAGTTAATTTGTTAGTAAAAGCCATGCTCCCACAGACATTTCACAGTACAATAACTGTAACATTGATATCTATATTCATGCTCTATAGAGTCCTCAATGGATTTCCTGTAAGATCTCTGGTTGGTATACGATAATAGTTGAGCATATTTCTCTGGAGCCGACTTGTCTAATTCACTCCAAGACTGCTAATTTTAACAAAATGTGGAAACCTGGAGCTTTTATATGAAGTTCAAGAGATGCTAAGGCCCAACTATGGTGGTTGCTGTGATAACTGAACCAAAATGTTGATGTAGATGAGGCTGTAGAAAATATATTTATTTATTTTTTGTATTTCTTTTGTTCCATGGAAAAAATTTAAAAAATCAAGCACAAACAGACAAAAGACACACAAAAGAAAAGCTTGAGATGAAAAATTATAACAATAATAAACTTTACACAAAGCGCTTTTCCCAACAAAGATTACAAAGCGCCTCACAATATAAAAACAAAGAGATAGGAAAACAATAAAAGGAAGAAAATAAGACAAGCAGCTAAAATAGAGGACAGCTAAAAGCACAAACAGGAAAAGGGGGATAAAATACTGTAGCTTTGTAGATGAAAAAGCCATGAAGTACTTTATAAATTTAATTTTGATTCTAACCTGAACAGGCAGCCGTCAGGGAGTTTAAGGTTAAAGCAGGTGTAATGTGAGCCCATCTTGACTCTGGTTGGAAGAGCAGTAGCTGAATTTCTCAAGCTCACTGTGGTTAAACTGTTCCAAAAACATCTTCTAACTACTTGACAGGTTACTGTGAAGTGTACTGTGCAGTTATTTAGAAGAGTGCATTTGAACTGATGTAAAACTGGAGTTGAGATAAGGTTTCCGCTGCCTGCTACCTTTTGTAAATCTCTGCACATCCTCCCTGCATTCCCAGCAGAGCAGACTTAATTAAGACACACTGAGAGAACAGTCCTTAGGTACTTTGTCTCTTAAGTGCAGGCGTTTGATGAGTGCGAGTTTTCTTTTTGTTATAAAATTAGATGTGATCATTATGTAACCTGTTATGTCACCACATCACTTTTTTATCTAAGGGAAAAGTTTCACATCAATCAATTTTAATTCAACCTGAGAGATTTCTGTATGTGTTTGAGGTCTTCCGTCCTTCTGGTTTGTCGTGGGCGGGGCTCAGTTTGAAAAAAAAGGTGATGTCACCTGTCTGTAGATATGCTATGTGCTAGACTCGTCAAGCAAATGTTAAAGATGGTTGGAAGATAAAAGCAACATATACATAAATATATAGTCACATCTTAAGTTAGTAAGCAAAACGCTAGCTAATTTTTCTTCTCTTTTAGTAAGAGTGATTTAGGAATAATTTAGCTAATTAGTCAGCTAATAGCTATGATAAAAATACAATATGTTGTAAAAGTAAAGTTAGTAGTACATTTATACATATTGGAGCTTGTTCTCTGCTGTAGTTTATGGCAGACTTTTCTTTCCTTCCACAGCTGTGAATGAAAGAAGTCTGCAGTCCTCACTCGAGTGATTTGAACATTTTGAGAGCTTATCGATGCATTGTCCCCTTGTGTGAATTGCTGTTGCTGCTTTCTTTGTGGTGGTGCTGCTGCATCAACAGGCAGCCACGGCGATGTCTCAGACACACAGCGTTACTCTCCCCCCCCCCCTTTTTTTTGCTTGTCAAATCCCTGCAATCACACAGGCACTGAGACATCAAAAAAACAAAGCTCTGAAACGCTGAAATGTTGAGAAGGTTTTTTTTCTTTCATCTGACACTTGTAGAAGAAGCGTGTGTTGTCCTTTCAGCTGCTGAACAAGACGGTGTTTTATTGCACGTTTAATCCCACAGAATTTAAGTACATTGTGTTTACGATTTATCTTTTTTTTTTTTTTTGGACTTTTATTGCCTTT